ACCAGTAGAGAAGCTTATCTAGCTAATCAAAGTCCTCAACTGAAGTTTTCAGAATGCAGTTTAACTATATCTGTTTCTAGCAAATCCCCTCTCTCTTAGTGTTCTTGTTTGCTCAGTGATAAACACACTTTTAACCTGTTCATTAAGTTTCCATGTGGCATATATGGGCTAATTGAGATAGCCTGGACTATACTAGAATTTGAAGCATGAGAATGTAGATGGCGTACTGTCAAAAAATATAATCCGGATATATAAGATGGAGTCGGGAACCTTTCTAGTTAGCTTATTTTCTTAGGTGTCATAGACTGTTTTGTTGGTGGTTAAATAGATATTTGCTATACTTAAAAGGGCTACAGTTTTCTTAAATATATTAATTTCATATATATATATATATATATATATATTTTACTTATTTCTAAAAATGAGTCTCTTGTGTGTGCGCTTTCCCTTTCTTGTTTAATTTTCAATCCATCATTTTTTTTTGTATAATGGTTTTGTTTGGGTCAGCTTGCAATACTTCCATTAATCCACATGTTACCTGCTATTTTCCAACAATGCAGGTGGTAGTTAACTCTACCCAATAGAAATCACCTAGCATTTTGTTTGTATATTCCAGATTCATTGACACCAAAAACCACACCTTAGGTGCTTTCTATCCCATCTTTTTCCCTGCATGTTGTACATTCTTTTACTTGTCTATCATCTTGCGCTTGGTGTCCTACCATCCCACTTTCAAAGCACCAGGAAAATATTCAGGATTATATACATCATGTAAAGTTTAGTTGTAGGCTCCAGTTTGTTTTTCCTTCCAATTCTTTAATTTACTTCTTGACGCTGAAAGTAATATTTTACAGCATGGTATTTTGTTTACTGGGGGAGAGGACCGGAGTATTAAAGCTTGGGACATTACTAGTGGAAAAATTGCATATAGCATTGAAGATGCACATTCTACCCGTGTGAAAGGCATTGTTGTGCTACACAAAAACAGTGATGGTGATGCTGAAGATCATCAACACATAGTAGCATCAGCATCATCAGATGGGGTCATACGTGTTTGGGATGTTCGCATGACTAACAAAGATAAGCCAAATCCACTGGCTGAGGTCAATACAAAATCCAGGCTGACTTGTCTGGCTGGATCATCCATCAAATGTGAGTCTTCCTTTGCTATTTGAATTTTCCCCTCTTACTGTTTGCCTAATTTTAAATGATTCAGATAGTCACTGCCTTAACTGGTAACTTTTTGAACGGATTAACTTTGACTATTCTGTTCTGTGGTGCCAAATCATTTCATTGAAGGTAAAATGAGAATTTAAAAGCTAAATATTTATAAATCTAAAAAAGTGACATTCTTTTTGGGACAAACATAAAAGGAGAGGTTTCAGATCAATTGAGATAGGAGTATGAGTACAAAAAATTGCCAATCATTTCTCTTTTTGACAACTATAAAAGAATCTAGGGAAAGGGGTCAAAAATGCCTTTATACTATGTGAAAGGAACAAATATGCCCTCCGTTTATAGTTTGGCTCAAAAATTCCCTTACCGTCAATACTTTGGCTCAAAAAATGCCCTTGCAGTCAATACTTTGGTCTAGAAATGCCCCTATAGTTAAAAAATGGGTCAAAAATGTCCTTTTCCGAATAAATATATTGTTTTTTTTCTTTTTAAACACATATTTTTCCTGATTAAAATATTATTAAAGAACACTATTCTTGTTTTTTTTCTTTTAAAATCACTTTAACAAATAAAAATATAGGAAATATTTTTTTCTTCTTAATCTCATTTTATCAATTAAAATAGAATACCTTCATGTACCCTTTCGACAAATAATATATGTCATATATATACGAACATGGTATATCCATCATTAATTTATATTTATATAACGATAAAAAATAATGATAATAAAGTAAGAAATAGTTTTCATTTTATTTTTTCTATATTGAAGTAAGATAAACATTTGCTAATTTTTTTAAAAAACTTTCATTGAAAAAGAATGTGTCAAAAAGAAAATAATAATATATTTATTTGGAAAATGAGTCTTTTTGACCAATTAAATAACAATAAGGGCATTTTTGGACCAAAGTATTGACGACAAGGACATTTTTGGACCAAACTACAAACGAAGGGCATTTTTGTTCCTTTCGCATAGTTTAAGAGCATTTTTGAACCAAAGTATTGACGGTAAGGGCATTTTTGAGCCAAGCTATAAACGGAGGGCATTATTGTTCCTTTCACATAGTTTAAGGGCATTTTTGCCCCTTTTCCCAAGAATCTATAATCTTGTCATTGGCATTTTTTTAAAATTAACTATTAGGTCTCCATGTGAAAGAAGAGGGATGCTTTGAGTCTAATGCTAAAGATAAAGGACTATTTTGGGCCTTCTCTCGAGAAGTGTCCTTGAGAAACAGTTCACAGGAGCTAACCAGCATCTTATCAATTTAGATTAAAAAAGAGTCACAATTGTAAACATAGGCGGGACAGGTATAAATTGCATGAAATTTGCTACCTAAATGATGAAACACTTGACTGATGTTGTTGTCATTGTCATCTTTCAGCTATGAAAAGACCAGAGGTTGGAAATACTACTTCAAATGGACAACAGCTCGATGCAGGTGAAGAATCCTAGTGCTGTTGTAATTTGCTAATGACAATCACATAGTGTATCTGCCATATTTTTCCTTGAAGTTGTTGGAATCATATCAATTTTGTTAGTTAAAGGTGGATCACTCGATATATCAATTTTGTAACGCGTGTATGATTTTAATGAGCATGAAGAGTTATTTATTTTGGTTCCTACACGGATGGGACTTCAATTTTAGTATATTGCTATGAATGTGCTGTCGTTTAACTCATCTCCAAATTTCCTACTACTAATTTGTTTTCCATATTCCTCTTTCTAACTATAATCTTTTCATTTACTCACAGTTTTGTATTTCGTATACTCTTCTGATTCTTTCCTTTTAGTTTGTCTAGAAAATGTGACATTTTCAGATTCATAAATTTAGCTTTAAAAGGAATGGAGACTTTTCACTTTGAATCTTCTTTTGATTGGATGATGACACCGGCTACTTATCGCAATGACTCAGTTATTGGGTGGACAGATACATTGGTATCTGTTTGTTGCAGGAGATAATCGCGGTGCGCATAAGATGATTTTCTTCTCATTTATCCAAACGAACATTGGTGGACAATGGACTTATATATTGATATCTGTGTGAAGATGGTGCTTAGTCGATATTGAATAAATTTTAAAACATCATTGATCTAAACTCAATTGGGGATTTAAAAAAATAAACTTATACTTTAATATTTGTTTAATAACAATAGGGGTGTTTTTCGGGTTCAAGCCTTTGCGGGTACAAAGTCGCCTTCGTTAGGAGCATTTTACCTTTTAATGTGGATTTTTTTTGCACGAATTTGGATATAGTCAAGCTGCAATGCGGGTAATAGGGGTGTTTTTTCTGTTTTCTCTTTTTTTTTGGATGTCAGTCAATGTCTGAAACTTCCTTTTGTTTTCTTTTTATTTTTTCATTCTTTTTCTAGTCAAAAGATATTGGGAAATGGAAACAGGAGAAAGACTCATCAGAACCAAAAAGTTGCTCAATTTCATACTCCAATTTTAAAAAAGAAAATAGTGAACAATTTTGTTTTTGCAAAAACGAGTTTAAATACTTTTTAACTATGACTTTTCAAGATTAATATAACTTTTAGTTTCTTTTAACTATATTTATATTTATTATTAAGACTTTGTATGCAGCTTCCGCTAAAAAAAAGTTAAAAAAATCATTGCTAGAAGAGTTAATCCTCCAACCTCAAATATTAATATACTTTATTCAGTATTAATTAAGTTTTATTTTATCGTACCGGGGACGAAACTAACATTTGAAAACATATATGATTGCTTTATTGTATTTTCTTATGGGGTAATTTTTTTCGTATGAAACGATATTCTAATCGTTGAATAAGTATATTAAATTAAGTTAAATCAACACATAAAAGAAAGGATTTTACCTCTATATTTACAATAAAGTTATTATCTTAACAATATTTAAACCAAAATCTTAAAAAGGTTTATATTATATTGAGAATGTAAAATCTTATATTGAGATCATGTTGTTTAGAAGTTCTTTATGAAATCAACGGATAATTTTACTCTTAGTTTCTATTTTTTTCTTATCATTAATTATAATTATTTTTCTAATACATTTTTTAAAACATTGTATTTCTTATATTCAAAGAGTAATATAGTAAAATTACCCTTCTATTTATAGTTTCTTAAAAAGTGTGCAAAGTCAATAGTGGAAAAATATTGTTGGACAAAGGGAGTAATAAGAAATATTGGATTGTCAAAAAATAGTTAGAAAAAAAAGAGAGTTATTGTGACATAATAGCAGTATATACTTGAACAAGAAATACAAGAAACTTGTCCTATTTTAGTTTATATTTCTCTCTTTCTCACCCTTTTTGTGTATAAATAAATTTAACATATGAATAATGTTAACACCAACAATATTTTTTGATATGTTGGGATGATCCTTAATATATAAATATGATGGAAATGACTTTTGATGTATTTTAAAAGTAATTAATTTGATTCTAAGCGATAATAAATAAAGAGAATTACTATTTTTGTTATCGAAAATAAAAGTCCTCAAGATGTATTGTAAGTGAGCTAATAATTACAAAATAAAAGATTTTCTTATATCGTTTAATTCGATTTTAAAATTTATATCAAAATTCTTACATTCGAAAAATATATTCAATAGAGTAGGAAAGAAAGACTATACAATATTTTGATCACTTTTTAGAATACATTAAACACTAGTTAAGGACCAAATGAAACTAAAAGTCCTTACATTAATAAGTAATTAATTTTAAAGTAATTTGGTGCATACAAAGATTAAAACTTTATTTAATTTATATGCTAGTACTAATTAATTAAAAATTAAAAACTGACCAAAACCACCCAATTTTATCTTTTCTTTGTTTTCTTCTTTTGTCTTTCTACCTCTCTAGAATTGTAGTGGAATTTTCTTTCTTCTTGTTTTCCTCATTCAAATTACAATAGTTTTCAAGACTCTGCCTTTTTTCCTTCTCTGCTAAGCTTTTTTCACCTATTTTTGCTATTTAGATCTCAACTTTTATACTTTGCTTTCCCTCTGTAAATTTCTTGTTTTGTAGCAAAATTCAGAGAGTAGGAAAGTTTTCTTGAAATGGCCGGCCGTTATGATCATAACCCTTTTGAAGAAGAAGAAGAAGTTAACCCTTTTGCTGTAAGTTCCTTCTTCTTTCTTTTTTTTTCGTTTTGTTTTGTGGTTTAATTCTGAAAGTTGCTATCTTTCTGTACTGGGGTTTTCCTATTTTGCTGCTATGCAAGTGGAATGTTTGTTATTCTTCACTTGATCAAGTTTTGAGTGATCGTTAAGTGATTCTACTGGTCTGTTTTTGTGTGTGTGTTTGGGGGTTAACTCGTGATAAGCGGTTTAATTATGAAGTTATGTTCGTTTTGTTTTCTGGGTTTTTCTTTTGTTTATTGGTTTTGCAAATCAATATTTCAATTTAAAAGTGTAGCTGGTGCTTCCTATTTCCCATTCTTTGTTGGATTGATTGATTTGGGACCATCTTAAGTTGTGTGATTGATATTTGTGTAGGTTGACGTTTTATTTGCAAAATATTGAAATATATGATTATGGATTGTTATATACTATGATTAGCAAAAGTTGTTTAGTTTTGGTATACTGAGATATGAGGGAAAGCTCTTTCCTTTCATTGAGTCAAACTCTTAACTGTAATGGTGTCTGAACAGTTAAAAAGTTGGTGTCAAAAGGAAAATGGTTCCTAGTTTTCATTTCAAATGTGTTCCATTATGCAATTGGTAATAATGTTTCCGGTGGTGGTGGATAAGGGAATCCAGGATCATATGTGGATTCGTTCCTTGGCTTAACTTCATCAGATATGTGCAATCTAATATACTGATTGGCATAAAGGTTGTTGTAGTAAAAGTGACAAGTTCTTTTGTCTGTAATGCTGGAGGCATTTTGGAGAAACAATTTCTGTCATATTTGAATATGGGAACCCTCTAATTCTTGATGTGTTTTTAACTTAGGATGTTCTGTCCATAGTAATGTTAGTATAGTGAATGATATCACAGAGTCATGTTAGATCACACATCTGACATCACAGGATTTTAGATATTTTTGCACTGATCTCCTCCTGTGCATGAACATTAATTATGGCATCTATGTGTGCAAGTGTTGGATAAATGGATGATGTAATTTTTTTTTTGTATAACGGGCTTAAGTATCTTCTGAAAATTACTGCAGGATGGAGGAGGCAGAGGGAAATCTTCAGGGAAATCAAAATTTAGTGGAGGTGCATTTTATACCACAGTAAGTTGAACATACTTTTCTCTGTCATATCTGTCTATCTCAGTCCGCTTACATCAGGATCGGGGTTAGGAAACCAATTTTCCTTAGTTTGGTAAATGGATCAATATTTCTACTTTTACAAACTGCAATTGTATCTGAACTAGCATTTGCTTATGCTTAGTCGCTTTATCTTTGTAACCTCCCTCTTTTTGGGGCGGGGGAGGTGAAGTAGAAAGGAAGAACGTAGGGGTAAATTATTGGATTTGCTTCATTTGTTGTGTGTTTGAAGTTGCTATGTGGATAACATCTTTTGCTATTTTCTCTCTTGATGTATTATCTTAATATTTTCCCTTTTATCAACTTTTCAGTCTGGGAGTGTGCCTCCAGCAACAAACTCCAGACTTTCACCCCTTCCACCAGAACCAGCTGATTTCTATGACCGCAATGCGTCAATCGATATTCCTCTTGACAATGCTTCGGTAGTTGGAACTTTCTAAATCTCTGTGTTGATTTGTCATCTTTATCTTATTTGACATTAATATCTATGATGGTTTCTTAATTTAAGTTTGTTTGAATTATAGGACCTGAAAAAGAAAGAAAAAGAATTACAGTCTAAGGAGAATGAATTGCGGCGGAGAGAACAGGTATGGGATGATGAAAATTTGAACAAGTGTTTAATAGTCCCACCCTTTTTATAGTGTTACTGAACTATTTGAGCTGAAAATATCAGTTCCCTCTACTTGCACCTCAGCTCTTTGTTGCTGGTGTATCAAAGTCATTTTTCACTTATCTGACTTCTCTTTGTTTTGCAGGATCTTAAAAGGAGAGAAGATGCTGCGGCAAGAGGTGCCTTTTTTTCTTTTGCTTTAATTCTTTTTTTGGCATTTATCCTTCTGCTAACCTTCTTTTTAATCTTCAACGAATATTCAGTCTTGCAATATTTGTAGAATTTAAACTACTAATATGAAGTGAGAACACCATATATAGTTTCTAATTACATCCGAAGGAAGAAAGATAATGGGACACTTTTTCTGCTATGTTCCAGATTGAGCCTTCTGATTTTTATCTAGGGCGATTTTATTTTTTTTCGTCTTCTCATACAGTCTCCACCATTCTTTCCACATTTGAAGTAAAATTCTGATGTTCAAATGTAACTTTCAATTCTCTGATTTCCCTGAGTAACTCACAAGTTTTGTAGAATACTCTATTTCAGGTGGAACTTCAGTCCTGTGATTTATGGCAGTATCTTACAAGTTTAGTTCATCTTTGAATTGCAGCCGGCATTGTTCTCGAGGAGAAAAATTGGCCTCCGTTCTTCCCTATCATCCATCATGATATTGCAAATGAAATACCAATTCATCTTCAAAAGCTACAATATGTTGCATTTACAACTTTCTTGGGTATGTTAACTACTGCTTACCATGTGTTTGGTTATTCTATTTTGGAATATGGGTTTGTGTTCTTATATGGTGTACCCTCCGTTCAAAAAATTGTGGGGTTCAGACCGAGTGTCACACATCTAATTCTAAATCAATTCCTTAATTCGTTTAAAGAAAATTTTACACATTTAAAAACTACATCGAAGTACTAAATGCAACTTCTTGTAGTAGAAAATATTTAGAGAAGTTCGGATAGAATTGTCAGAAAAATAGTTGGACTCTAATAGTAAAGTGCCAATCAAATTGGGACAAATGTAATAGTTCTTATGACTTAATTCATTGCATCCAACAGTAGTTTCTTAGATTTTAACCAATGCAAGGCATGCTTTTCGTTTCTCACTTGGGACATAAAACCTTTGTTTTGTTACATTAGTTTCCCTTTTTTATTTATGTTCTTCCCCAAATGGTAAAATGCCTCATATTTCCTTATTTATTCATCATTGAAGTGTAATCCCCATTCGTCAAAAGAATATAAAAATAATGAGAAACGAGGACCAAAAAGGTCAGATCCTCATATAATGCCTTTTTGGAGGCCTTCAAGGAATTAGGTACAATATTGCAGAAACTAAAAAGACCCTAGTTTAGTCCGCATAGAAAGAAAAACAGAGATTTGAATTGATAATCCTTCTCTTTTTCGTCCCCCTTCCCATGTAACTTGGACTAAAAAATGTGTGCATACCAGTAAGAGTGTAAGTGTCCGGTAGAGGTGGGGGAAATGTTTTTGCTAATTTCTAGCATTTTTCGAATGATCCTCCTGTAAGTGCCATTATCTCTATTTCGGTACACTTTACTGTACCAGCAGACAAGTGAGGGATCCATATGGTCTGGCTCACTTTCGATCAACATTGTTACTGAATCTTATCGTGAAAATTGCAACTCAAACAAGCATTTGCTTGTGAATTGTTCTGGTTGTTGAATAAAAATTCTTTGCACGTTATAACTTGATAGATCTGTCTGTCTGGAATAATTTTTTTTGAGTATGAATTGTCATCTTGTGCTGTATGTGAGTTTCTTGTTTTTCTCTTGCTAATGAGATATATGCTAATTGTGAGCAGGACTTATTGCATGCCTATTATGGAACATTGTAGCTACCACTACAGCGTGGATTAAAGAAGGAGGTACATCGAATCGGCATGTTCCCCTGCCTCTACATGCCATTACTTATCCGATGAAGTCAGAGTACTTACTTTAGTTTTTGTCTGTAGATGTAAAGATCTGGTTCCTTTCTATCATTTACTTCATATCGGGTGTTCCTGGAGCCTACTTCATGTGGTATCGTCCTCTGTATCGTGCTTTTAGGTAAACTTATCTGTCTTTCAGAGAATTGAGCTGATTTACTTCAGAAATTATCAAACAGTTTTTAAATGCGAGAACTGATCTTTTTGTTGGTTGTTATGGCTTAAGTATTAAATTCGAAAATTTTGTAAATGTTGCAGAGAACTGATTCTTTAAAATTTTGCATACGCCTCTAATGAGTTTATCCCCTTGTTTGTCTCTTTTTTTGCCTTGTTTTCCCCTTCCCCAACTAATCGAGGTATTTGGTCACAGAACTGAGGGTGCCATGAAGTTTGCGTGGTTTTTCTTGTTTTACGTGGTAAGTTCCTTATGCAATTGTTTTTGTCTATGTTATATAGTCTCTTTGTTGTTTTGTCATATGGTCAACGCGAATGACATGGGAATGGGTACTTCATAAGGATCCTTCAAAATACTCTAGAAACTTTCAAGTAGGTTAAGGTTACTCCCTACCGGGTACATACCTGTACCTGAGTCCATATTACAAAATACAAAGTCAAAGATTTCTTGGATATCTGACTCAAATGTTCAGCTGTCATAGATTTTTCTCTGTTTGCAGGTTCACATTGTATTCTGCGTCTTTGCTGCTGTTGCTCCTCCAGTAGTCTTCAGAGGAAAATCCCTTACGTAAGTTTCCATATTGCATTTGACTTGTTAAAAAGAGTTGTAAAATTACATCAACACCGTCACCTTATTCCAAAAAAGAAATGACTCAAATAAATCCACTGTTTCTGGCATAATAGTTACATAGTTCTCTTTCAACCAAAACACTGAATTCTGCCTTCGTAAAGCTTATTGCTTTTCAATTTTGTGTGGATTTCATCTATGAAGTAGCTAACCGTTAAAATGATCTGATGTTCTGTTATTTGTTGGAACAGAGGCATCCTGCCTGCGGTGGATCTCATCGGCAAAAATGTACTTGTTGGGGTGAGTTAGGACTATTTTCATCACAATCCATAGTATCTCTATCGTACCTTTTACGCCTTTTTGTTAAGATGGACTGACCTTTTCATTAATTTGAAGAAGAAATATGGAAGAACAGAACCTACTCAAACTTCTTTCTAATGAAAGTTTTAACTCAAGCTATTAAAGTTGGGCTCATTAACATAAAACTGTTGTCCTTCCCTTATTAGATTTTCTACTTCATCGGTTTTGGGCTATTTTGTCTCGAGTCATTGCTGAGCATTTGGGTTATCCAGGTCAGACTCATATTCTGTTTCTCCACTTTCCAAAATATCCGTTTTACTGAAGCCCAAAATCTGACCTCCTGGTTTACCCGTACTCTCATAATGCAGCAAGTATACATGTATTTCCGAGGAAGTGGTAAAGCCGCACAGATGAAGCAAGAAGCTGCTAGAGGGGCCCTTAGAGCAGCAATATAATTGAAAGAAATGTTCTTGGGAGAAGGCTGTTATGAAGGGTGGGAGTTGGCTACCTCAGTTGGGCTGATATTTCTTGTTTTCATATATGTTTTAGTTAGTTCAATTACACAAATATGCTGCTTGTTTGTTTACATATGCTTTTAGTGATTATTTTTATGATATGATGTATGTTTTATTTATGACTACTTAGACCAAAGTGCTGTTAGAAAAAAGATATTATTATTGATCTTTTGTCAATACTCATTTCTTGTAATGTTTCATCTTAAATCACACATTTTTTTCAAATGCATACTTGTTGTAATGAATTGATTTGAAAGTACCGTCAGAGAATTGATTTAGTGAGTTGAATACGGGCTTCTCACAGCTTGATTCCAAAGGACTTTTAAGGGAGACAGTAGGGACCAGGTCCCGGTACATCAGAGTGAATTAACTCAAATAGTACAATATACAATAATGAGACTCGGTATTGAAATATTATTTTAGAATATGTTTAACCTTCTTACCTACATTCTTCTCTTGAAAAAATTGTATAATAATACTTCTATAGAGAAGACGCAATTGAATGAATTAATATATTTTCAATTTTTTGTTTACTCCTCTTTATGAAAATTATGACTTTGCTACTAATTTCATAAATCTTTTTTTTCCTTCTTAATCCATCTATAGATATGATATAAGATAAGGTTACAACAACTTACAATTAATAAGAAATTGGTACCATAATAATGAAGTATTAATCTGATAATCATATCCCCTCCACCTCTTCAAATTCTTAGTCAATGTTATTAAATGTAACCAACTAATTGAGTACAAACATCTTTAATTCACCCAAATCTATCAATTTGTCCACAATTTAGAATTCATAGCCTTTTAAGTTCCCACACGAGCATTCTCAAAATGCATTAAACTACATTATATTTACTTCGAATAGTCGCAGAGCCAAAAAAATTTAACAGGAAATTTCAAAAAAAAAAAAGCTAAATTATTATACTTATCTCATGTCAAGACGATTCAACAATACATCATTAATTCTATTACTTATATCATAAAAATGTAGAACTTAGGTACATAATATATTGTTCCACATGACAAAACAAATACACCCAAACAACACATATTATAAGTAATATAAATATAATAACTTACTTAGCTATTTTATTTTTTTTGCTTAACAATAAGCAAGACATTTCTTCTTGCAATCCATAGTACATCCACCAGATCCACCACCAAAACCATAACCTTTTCCAGCACTTGAATATGCTTTATAACATTTTGCTGGACATATTAATTTCATACCCAAACATGGGCCTTTTTCTTTACACACAACACTGGAACTTACAACTCCACTTTTTCCATATCCACCGTTTGGGCTTCCAAATCCACCACCAAATACTCCACCACCAAGCCCAGGAATATTAAACCCTCCACCAGGCCCAAAAATCCCACCAAAAGCCCCATCACCATTGTTTTTTCCATTATTATTTCTGACTTCGCCACTGCCTGTTTCACCTTTCTTTGTTTTTTCAACCCCGTGTTTTTTCGGGTGGATGTGTCTTGTAGCAATGGTAGAAGTGAATGTTATGATGAGCAAAAGAGCTAAGAGAGTGAGGGTAGTAATGGAGATTTTCTTCATTTTTTGGTTTTTTAGCTGAAAGAGAGAGGAGAAGAATGAGGAATATTTATGGGAAAAGAAAGTTATAAGTAGATGGTAGTTGGGACGCTTTTATGAAGACTTTATATAATTAGAATAGGGTGGGTGCAATTTATTACACTATAGTATACATGATTATATTAGATATGTATAGATATTTTCCTTTTTAATTAGTGTTATTAATGCGTCAACATGTACAGTGATAGAGACAGAATTTACATAAGAATCATTCAACATCTACAAATTCAACAAAGCGGTTCAAACAAATCCTTTTTTTGTTTTACCCATAAACATGTGTACATATTTATATAGGTGTAAAGGACTTATCATTGAGAATGTGTGACAAGATAGTTAAGAATTAAGATATACTTTGACTAATGATTTTGAGTTTTGAAAATAATTCACTTCTAATAAAACGTGTTAATTACCCCATATGAATTTACTCAACTTGAATTCAAATTAATCGAATCGTTTCAAACATTAGATAGTTAAACTCGAAAAAACATAAATGGGCATAGTAGGGTGGACTATAATTCTATAAATTAGGCATGTAGGGATGGTAGATAGGTGCTGCCTTAATGAGCCCTAGGAAGGAGAATTAATTTTACATTAATAGATACAAATTAATAAAGGTGATGATACAAGTTAGGTGGTACAAATCAAATAGAGAAATCGTACCAAACTGAAAAGTCAAATAAATCGACAAAAAAAAAAAAAAATTTATCTATAACTTGAAAAAATAAAGTTTGAAATAGTATTTGTGTAACCAAAAATTCGATATAATTAATTTGGTTTGATTTTAATAAAAATCGAACTAAACCACTTCATGTACACCCATAAGTACAAGCAGCGGATTAATTCTCTATATATCATAAGTCATAATTAGAGCCGTCAAAATGGGCTTACCCCATGGCCAGCCCAACCCAACTCGTTATTGGGGTAGGGTTGGGATAAGATTTTTCAACCCATTTAAAACTAGGGCTTATAAGCCCGCCCCATATAAGCCCCTGGCCCTTTAGGCTTGATCGAGGCCGGGCCGGGGTCGGCCCATGGCCAAAACTTTTTAATTAAGGGTAACTTACCATAATCTCACTAATATATAATCTAATTACTTTAATACATGTTATGTTGTAATTTTATGAATCTTACCATATTTTGGTACGTCCAGATACATGTATCTTGGAATATATGGACTCAAAATTACGTTAATCTGTTCTAGATACACTCTATCCAAGTAGATTCACATGTATCTAGGATGCAGAGACAAATTCCGCGCCCTCGCCTCCCTCCAATATTACTTGTCACTCTCGTATCTCTCTTGTGTATCTGGTATGCGAGATACATGCTAACTACTCTAGACTTTTTGCTAGTGTTATTAAAACAACACCATCGTTTGTCATATTTGATTTGAAAATCTTCTCATTTTCTTGATATTATAGAATTATAAGTTTGAAAAGAGAAAAAATGAAAAAAAAAAAAGAAAAAAAAAAGGGCTAGCCCGCCCCAGCCCTCGAGCCTTCTAGGGGTGGGTTGGGTTGAGCATTTTCAGGCTCTTCTGAATGAAGGGCCAGCCCACCCTAGCCCTTCAAATTCCTTGGTCCGCGAGGCTTGAACGGGATGGGCTGGGCCGACCCTTTTTGACAGCTCTAGTCATAACTTTCATGTCAACTATTCTTTACAATTTTGTCCCCCGATCTGTTATTATTTAGATAGATAAAAGAAAAGTTGAAAACGCGTTAGACACCAGTGCCTTAGTTTGAAACTCGTATGAATTTATTGTGGCTAAAAAAGCCAGCTCACATGAAATTGTCCTTTGAACCCCGTTTGAACATAGATTTTGATGTTAACATTTGAAAATTTAAGTTTTTGAAATTGTGTTTAGACATCTATTTAACTGTTAAAAATATTACATTGTGAGTGGGAGTCCCAAAAACTGCTCTGAACGGAAACTTAAAAATATTTAAAAATTTAAATTTCAAAATTTAATCAAATAGAAATTTTAAGATAATTTTTAAAATATGATCTAAAATATGTAGTTAAACGCTTGGTACATTTAATAGTATCCGTACATGTCAATAGAATGGTTGTTTATTGCCATGTGCGTTTGTAAAAATTGATGGTTGAGATTCATTTGAGAGGTAAACAATTTTAACCAAAATAAAGAAAAGGAAATTAAAAACTAGAAAAGTTATTTTCCTCATTTTGAATGTATTTGTAATATTTTTTAAAAATATTTGATCAATCGAACATGAAAAAAATTAAGGCAAACAGAGACATTAAAAGAAAATTGGACCCATCCTATTGAATTTCACTCGCTTTTGCAGGCCACTCCTATTTTCCCTATGTCTACTTAGGTGATATGATATATCCAAATTTCAATTAATGCATTCTTTTAATGAATTAAATACCCACATGCTGATGCTAGACACTTTTTTTCAATTTTGGCTCCCAGCATAGTGCAATAAATCAATACCCTGTACTTGTCGGCATAAATCCCGATTTAGTCGGACTCCAATGAGGGTACCGGACACAGGGTAGGAAATAAAAAAAATAAAAAATCAGTACCCACAGTTGCAGTATAATGCCTAGTACTATCATTTATTCATATTTGCAACATAGATGGTCCTATGCACACCATTTGATCACATTTTAGGCTGAAAATTTTGAGTAACATACAGTAGGTTAAAGGCTAGAGGAGTTCCAGCTAGCATCTACAGCCCCGATGATCGTTTCGTGCAGTTTGGCTCCAGCGCAAGCAATTATACCGCGATCAAGTCCTTCTAAGTATTCGCCTTTTGAGAAGTCTAGTGGTTGGCCTCCTGCATCGGTCACCACTCCACCGGCTTCTTCAATGATAAGAACACCAGCTGCATGATCCCATATTTTCTCCTTGTAACCAGCCCTCGCGAACTTCATATATATCTCAGCATCTCCTCGAGCTATGGCTGCATACTTTACCATGCTATATACACGTAATGGCTGGTTCCTGCAGTTGATATGTTGTCAGCCGAGCTTTAAAAGAATCTGATTGCATCAATATTTTACTAGAGATTGCAGAGTAATTTTCAGAATTTGTAGCTGTCAAGCATAACCGAAAATAGATTCTAAATGCTAAGACAACTAGTAAGCCATCGTAAATATACCATCTTGAAAGTTACACACGTTATAGGAAGATCAGTTGTGGAATACGAGAGGGAATTGTGAGAGATATTTACCGAAGTCCAACACTATGAGCCAGTCCTGCTGTGAATGAATGGCTTGAATTTGCCTTCTCAACTGGTTCACAAAAGGTAGCTAGTGCTGGGTTATCGATGGAGGATACTCTAATTTCCCTTGCAGAGTTCGGCCACACAAATTTATTTTCTCCATGCAGTAACGGTTGCATCCAAGCCTTGCCACCACCTTTCCTTGCATAAAGTACAGAACCTCTATCCGAAGATTCAGATGTAGAGGAGGTCAACCTAGATAAGATTCTCCTATAACCATTTTGATAACTAAGCCATTCCTTCTTCATAGGATAATTTGGACACCCGAGAACCCCAAGCACAGGTTCTCCGTCTTCGATCAATGCCAAAGCAATAGCGTATTGATC